TGTGTATAAGAAACCGTCTAAAAAAAAGTCAGAACGGACAGACAGTTACTTTCAGCCCAGCTCAGCCACAGTGGGATGCCTTTGGTGCATTCCAATTGGAAGAAAGAGAAGCCAAATTAATGGAGGATTTTCTGGATTTAGCAGTTAGGCACAGATGAATAAACACCAGTCACCTACATTTGCTTCAGTGCAGTCAGTTTATCCATGCAAAAAAACGCTTTTGCAAAGGCATTAATTCTTCAGCAAAACAAACACACACACACAACCTCTAATACACTGGATTTACAAAATCCTACTCAAGGGTCAGATTTAAAAATATGTCAATTTGGTCAGGTTTTTTTCAGTGGGCCTTCTCTGTAGCAGATTTCAGCAGCTTCTTTACTAACTATCATCATCTATATGGGTCCCTCAGCACACAGATGCCAGAGGCAAACCACTTGAAGGTTGTTAACTTAAGCACTTTCTCTGCTATTTTTCTTCTTTAGGACTTCATCTGCTAGAATCTTATCAGTGTAACAAGTGAGCTCCAGTTCACAGTAATGGTTGTAGGAGATCATTTTCTACCCCCAAACATGGACTAAGCGTGAATGAGTGACTTGTGACAAAATTATTTTTAGAGTGCACTGATTCTCTGCTTGTACCCTTGGCCAGGAATAGGCTATGCCTTGCTTCTTGTCCGCTTATTTTCCAAAAATAACATTGTATTGAAGAAAAAAAAATGAGTCTCAGACTCTAGACTGGTTTATGAGGAGGTCAGAACAGGTATCAAATAAAACGTGAGCTTTCATTTATTTATAAGCAGACAGATTGCCCTCAAGAATTTACAGCCTGTGGTCTGGCCTGACACCTGGTTAGGTGAGCACACCATGTGTAGCAGCATTGACCTAGGACCTTTAAATGCATATATGACAGCAGACTGGGTAAACTGAACTGTAGACAGTAAATCAGGCTTTCAGCAAGAAATGTTTTCTTTTATGATTAAAACTGTCTCTCCACTACATATTTCTTTAAAATGGATCACTTCCCTAAAGATTCATAATTGCTTATTTTATTCAAGTGAATGAATTCTTGGATTTTGAAAGACCCATCAGATTTGTGCTACTATTTTCCTGCTCTTCGGAAAAACATATTGTTAAGCAAAATTTTATTAAATACAATTGAAAGCAAACAGAATTACAGCTTACAGCTCTTACCAGAAATTATTTTCAAACTCCTGACAACATACTTTGCAGTGATACCTCCTGCTAGAGCCAGGGGAAGGCTGTGTAATTCAGTAATGCTTTGGAGATTTAGATGTTGCCAGAGGCAAATTTCTTCAAGGATGCAGAGTTGTTTGCATTGACAGCTTGGGCAGTCCTCATGAATTTTTGCTAAGCTTATTTACAGTTGCACATACTGCACTTTAACTACTGTGTTACACTGCTAGTTATAATTTATATTTCTGCTCATTATTAGTTAAGCCATTTTTTCCCTTATAACATAAAATTAAAGGGAGTAGGAACTGAAGCATCCCCACCTTCCCATCTGCTCCAAGCTCCACACCTTCAAGACCAATTATCTCTTTCAGACACACTCCAGTAGAATGGCACTGGCGTCCACCATCCAGCTTCATATCCCTGGGAAACAGAAACAAGAACAGAAATACCTCTTAATACACACGCCTGGTTCACCTTCCACTACCCAGTGCTGAAATAAGGTGCAGCATTAACCCAAACACGCCAATGCAAAGCACAGACCAGACAACTTTTCCTATAAAAGCACTTGTGTTGTCTAAAACATATTATAGAGAAAACCCCCACTTTGTTCCAGGTTGCAGCTCATACCCCACCTATGGTGCAGAGCAAGGTTCCCCATCATTAGGCACCTCTGACAGAACCTGTCACTGGGAAGGAACTGGAAGTCATAAACACTTCAAGTGAGATACAACAATCCAGCTTGAACATTTAACTGAACATTTAACTGCCATGTATCCAGCAGACAGATGCTCCCAGACCACATACCTCGCTCCCCTACACGAGACAAAGGTAACTTCCTGTGAAAGCCTCCATGAAAGCCTCCGGGAGGGATTCCTGCTCCTCCAAGCACAGGAGAGTGCCCAAAGTCCTCCTGGTGGAGGCCGTCAGGAGAAACCCGCTTTTCCATCACCCTGGAATGGAAACTTGGGGATCTACTTTGAAGGGACGAACCCACCCAGCATCTTACACTTGAACATAAATGAGATCCCTAAGACAAGCAGGCTGTATCCCATGCTTTAGTCTCATGATTAAAATGCGAGCTGAGGTAAAAAAGACTGAGCAAATTTGTGCTCCACAAATGGCAGCTGCGTACAACTCCAGACTATTTATCTTGCAATATTTTCCTGGCTGATTTCCGCTGAGGTCCAACTATGTGCTTAAAAATCTGTGCGGGAGAGCTGAAGCAGGGAGAAACCCTGCAGGCTCTTCATCCAGTTGCAGGGCTGGGCTATATCCTGCTGTGTCTCTGCACACCGTCTTTCCTTGTCTTTCCAACCTACCACACATTTTATTTCTCTGAAACATGGCAATCCTGAGTCCCCAGTAAATCACGTACCCTACTGCTGGAAAAATCCAACACGTCTGTGTGCTGGAAAACATGCTTCAGGAACAAAGGAAAAGACTGTATCAAGTTACTAATCCCAACACAGTTTCTTCATTAGAGTTCACTTAGCATAGTGTCATATTATCATTCTCGTTTCCTGATATCATGTTACTGAGGGGCTGGACAAATAATTATATAAAAATAACCCTCTGTGAGAGTCATGGTATTAGCCTCTCCGTTCTTGCTCAGAAAGTGCTTAAGAGAACTATTTCTCATAGAGATAAATGCCAAATAGTAACCATTTCAGCAGGTGTTATCTGTGAAACAAATGCACAACCTGAAGAAGCCCCTGAACCCAAAAATGAAAACAAGTATCTGAATAACCTGAAAGCAGAACAGTTTAGTTTCCTTCCGTTCAACACCTTACAGACACAGAGCAAGAAATAATGCTGTTACAACTTTGAAAACAAGTCACAGAGAAATTTTTCCATGCAATTATAGATAACTTTGTAATTCATCAAATGGAAATCCATCAACCTTTGAAGAGTCAGCACAACAGCTTTAAAAATTAAAGAGCAGTTCTGGGGACTGAAAAGAAATCAGTGCTCTGGGAGCAAGGAGCAGGGTCAGCTGACATGTGCGAGCACACATGGGGATCATTCCTCGACATCAGCTGAAGATAGATGGACACTAATGCCTCCATTTCTGTATACTTCTGATGTTTCTAAAGAAGACTCTCCTTTCAGGACCCTGTGAACAACATTGCAGTCATTCTCCCCCATCCTAGGTGTTTTGCAAAGGTTACTTGGGGTCTTCCCCTCCTCCACATATGCTCTATATTTCTAGGTAGTATATGATTGCTTGTGTTATAAAATGGACTAATAAAATATTACTCTTTGGAAAGAAATGTGTCCATAAAACAGAGAATTAAACTTCCTCTCCTGAGGAAAATCAGCACCAAACAATGTGCAGTTTCTTATGAGCACGAAAATGGAAAGGCTCATCCAGGCTTATACACATCCTCCTCTCACTCATAAAAGACCTCGGTGAACATCTAATATGGAATTCCTATGCTATTTTGCTGTATCCTTTTTGAGTTCCCTATCATGTGATCAACAGCAAGCTAGCCAAGTTTTTGCAGGTCAGGCCTTGATTTTTATTCTCCCTCCTATTAAAGACAAAAGAGTTCACGGACCCCTCAGCAAAGCTCTTGCTGGGAGAGCAAGCCCCAGGGTTGCCACCCTGCTGTTGGGTAGAGCTCCAGCACAACTGCTTCCTCCCCACACCCCCAAAATCCCAAGAGCAACAGCTAGGAAAGACCTGGGGGATGACTTCACCTAGCCCTCTCCAAATGGCAAGTCATGCCTAGGGATGAGTTGGGACGGTTGTTTGGGTACAGCCACCGCACCAGTGTGGCCAAACACTGCCACCAAGTTCTTCAGGACACATGGACTCGCATGGCACCACAGCCGAGGGGCCCCGAAAGGGAGGAGCATACGGAAGACAGGTACTTCATATAAAAAACAGCCAAGCTTTCACTGTGTTTAAGTTATTTAGATTACTGATGGGACTGAGGAATTGCACAAACCAAAATACAGGAGTAAACGGTGCTTAGAAAACGTAGAGTAGGAAAGATGGTCCTTGCCAAAGAGGTTTTAAAGGGAAGAAAACTTCCTTCCTCCTCTTCCTCAGTTTTGATTTTCCTGGTTTATTTCCAAAAGTGCTTTTTAACAAACTTTTCAAGGGATTCAAGCAGACACAGAAAAGCAAAAATAAATCATGGGAACTTTTACTACCTTCACTTTGAGCAGGGAAAGCTTGAGGAAATGAGAGGATTGGGAATAACATTTCTTTAGGAGGCAAAAAACTAGATCCCAGTTGCTGTCAAAGTTTAGGGAGTTACTCTGATTTACATCAATGTCAAGCTCTAGATATCTCTTCATGCATACCATTTCCAGAAAGCTGAGGAGTGTTATAAATTACACTTGAAATTAAGCATATTATTTTAGTTATTCAGGACTGCAGAATGTTGAGGAATACATCTGGTCCAGGTAGCTGAGATTGAGATGCAGATTGAAATGCAGACTGACTCCAGATGGGAGCCCAAGACAAGAGGCCATGAACAGCCAACCTTTGTGACAACAAAGGGCATGAAGATGGGTGATGCCAGGTAACTGAGTGGACACTGAGAGACACAGCAGGAGCTGGGAATTGCCGACCTTTTGGATAACAAAGGAGATGAAGACAGTGAGGTGGATGGACACAGAGAAGGGGGAAGGAGCTGAAGAGGAGGTAGAGTGAGACTTTTGCTCAGGGAGACTCTGAGGTTCCTTTGCTGGGGGTGCTCCTCGGTGGCACCAGCTTGAGCTTTCTGTGTTACTGAGCCATGAGTAAATGGTTTTATGGAACGAGACATCTCAGGCTCCGCTAAGGGAAATCTGGGGTTGAACCGGTAGGGAACTGTGGTGTGACTGAGTGTGCATGTGGTGAGTTAGGGAGTGAAGTGGGACACCTGTCGGCTCACTGGAGCTGCCCGTTGTGAAGGGGCTTCAGTCCCAGCAATTAAAGTCTCTGGACTTGGTAGTGTGACTGACGTAGAGTCTCATAAGTGGTCAGACTGGGTACTTTCCTTAAAAAGGAAAAAACGGAAAGTTTCTCACTCTAACAGAGTTCAAAGATTTTCTTGGAAGAACACCAGGTGACTTGGGATCCCAGATTTGTTGTCGGATGGTGAAAAGTTTTACTGAACAAATAGATAAGGATCAAAACAAGAAATCTCATCATGTCTTTTATTAGCCAGGCCAGGATTAACAGAATATAAATTGGATGCTGTTACCTTTGGAAGTATAACATTTCTTTTATGAACCAAATGTTATGCTTTGACGTGATCTACAAAGTCCCATGCAAGACTCCTGCTGGGCACTTGCTCTTTAAATGACAGTAACAGTTGAGCACTCTAACCCGTGAATAATTTAGGAGTCCATGAAATATTAAATAGATTTCTAGATACATGAAAAAGCCTTCTGCTTACTGAAAAAAGGAATCTGATAATTGTTATTTAGAGACGTCAGCCTTCTGTACCTATATTTTATGCTTAGTGATTCCTGACTCTTAAGATTTATTCTAAAAGCAAAAGCAGTTCAGGAGACACCAAGAAAAGATGCTGTTCTCATCCGTCACTGTAAATAATTTCTACTTATCATCTCTGTTTACAAGGACAAGGGAAATGACAGCTCTGGAAAAGATGCACTGCCAGTCTAACCAGCAGCAGATTTCCCACTGCCTGAAACTGCCTGCTATAATTGATCAAGAGCTTTCAGAGTCTAATGCCATTAGTGTTGCCAGAACAACTCCAGCTGCAAGTTAGAGGGGGGGGGTGTAGAAAAGTTCCTGGAAAGATGGCCATAATGGGCCAGTTTCCTTTTTCTCTCTCCAAAGATATTTAGATGTCAGCACACCTCTTTTCCTGATGTTTTGCCCAACACAGAGTAAAAGTATTAGGAAGATTCATTGATTAACTTCAATTAAAGGGAACAGGGCAATTCAAAAGAATGAGCAATGGTGGCTCTATAAAATTCATACATGAGATGATTAGTTTTGAAGTGTCCCACTGAGGGAAAAAAGCCCTCAGATTTCTGTGTCTTTCTGTAAAGCTAATACATGCTTGGTTTTCTTTTTTTATTCAATTCGTGAGAAGGCTAAAAGAATGATAGGACTAGAGAATGATAAATGCTCAGGAAAAGAACTAAAGATTGATGACTTAATCAAAACTGCCTCACATACAAAATCTGTTGGGGAAGAACAGCAAGGAACTTGGTAACAAATCTGAAGGACATAACAGAGTATGTCTGTCTGCTGTCTGCTTATTGCTACTATCCATATGGCAATTTAGATGCTCTGATTTCTCCTGTAAATATTGCCCTGTTTTCCACACTCACTGATCTGTCAAATAGCTGATGGCAGGGGTGTGTCAGGGGTGCAAGACAACCTCACCTAAATGTTTCTTTTTTTTGCCTCATTTTGCATACGACCTTCATACCCAGTTTAACACTAAAGA